TTTTAAGTTAAAAAGAATAAATGCAAGTGATTGCGCTGGTGCCTCCATGTCCTGCAAAGCGTGCTTTAGCTTCCACTCTCCGCACAAACATGGATATAGCGCACATTTATTACAGCGCAGGTTTAACGTTTAAACATTGTTATAGGCTTGAACTGTTTTAGTAGATCTAGATTTTATTTTATGCAAGTCGTGATGATTTGAGAAGGCTAAATTAATCAAACATAGGCGATCAGCTCACTGTCTGCCACTGCCCGCTTGGTAGTTACTTTAAAAAACAAACTTATATTTAACGAATGAAAAATGCTCCAAATGTTATTCTCAATTAACTTAACAAAAAAAGAAATGAAATATAATCATTTTGCCATTACATACAAAACTTAACTATTTTAATAGCTTAAAGAGTGTTAGAAGCTGTTTTGGGAGAAGGGAAGAAGAAGAAACAAAAAACAAAAAAAAATACTAGCTAGGGTAAGGCTTGGGCCGTTAATTCTGATAAGCTTTCGGAGAAGGGCTGGGGCCTGAGCGTCTCGGGCCAGGGCCTAAATTAGAGGTCCGTGCAGGGCTCAACTGCCTTTGTCTTGTCCTCACTCAATTTAAAGTGCTCCCACACAGCTGAGGTCATCTGCACTTTTGTGTTCTCTTCAAGATTAACTGAATCATGACATTCACTCATGGGCGATTCATATTCAAGCACGAATGAGAACCGTTTCACGGAGGATGCCAGGTTTGAAAAAAATAAAAATATATTAGAATCTCAAAATTGAAAATCTAATGCCAACCCACCAAACGAATATTCTGGTCCAGCCCTACTGCATATTGTTCATTACTTTTGAGTTAGCATTTATAATTTATTTAAACTAAGCTTTTGTATTTTTATTAGTTTGATATTTCAGCTTTAAAGGGATAGTTCACCCAAAAATGAAAATCACAATTTAATCATACTCATGCCATCCTAGGTGTATAAGAATTTATTTTCAAATGAATACATTTGGAATTACATAAAAAAAAAATGTCCTGGCTCTTCCAAGCTTAATAATGGCAGTTAATAGCTGTTGAGACGTTCAAGTCCAATAAAATGTGTCCATCCATCATCAAAAGTGCTCCACACAGCTTCAGGGGGTTAATAAATGCCTCCTGAAGCACAGTGATGTGTTTGTGTAAGAAAAACAGCCATATTTAAAACGTCAAACTGTAATCTCTAGCTTCTGCGATCAGGAATTAGAAGTACGAGACAAAGATTTATAAAGAAATGTTAGCAGATTTCGATATAAGCCAAGAGGAGACTGGTTTTCCTTTTTTGTAAACAAAACTTGGTTCTCACGAGACTAGCATATTCTCACCAGAGCTTACGCTGTGCCTACGTCAACTGCTGGAAGGCCACTGTCGTGAAGGTGCGTACGACAGTTAGTGGAAGGCCACTGCCGTGAACGTGCATACGACAGTTAGTGGAAGCTAGAGATTACAGTCTTATAAAAAGTTTTAAATATGGATATTTTTCTTACATAAACCCATTGCTTCACTTCAGAAGGCCTTTATGGAGCCCTTTTTATGATGGATAGATTAACTTTATTGGACTTCAAAATCTCAACACCCATTCACTGCCATTATAAAGCTTTGAAGAGCCAGAACACTTAATATAACGCCGACTGTATTCATCTGAGAGAACAAAGACATATACACCAAGGATGGCTTGAGGGTGAGTAAATCATGGAGTCATTTTCATTTTTGGGTGAACTATCCCCTTAATTCTTTATAAATATTTCAGTTAATTACCAAGGCAATACTTCCATGTTTTTTTTTTTTTATCTAATATTTTCCATCTTCATTTCTGTATTATTCATGCTTTTTACTCATCCCACCTGTCTTTACTGTAGTGGTCAACACGAGGCGGAAGACCATCATCCCGACGTGACATCAGAGAATCTCTGCGAGGAGGGCCGTATGGGTCCCTGTCTCTGGACATTGGCGCTGTTAAACACATTGAGAAAATTATTTTATGGTTCAGATGATTAACGGTGCAAATCTGTGCATATTCGCCCAACTCACGTCTGCCCATTGGCCCAGAGGGTGCAGATCTCTTGGGTGGGGGTCCTCCATTCCGCACTGGGGGTCCTCTTTTCAGTGGCGGTGGCCCTCTGGATGACATGCCTTTAAAAAAGGGTTCTACAATACCTACGTTATCTTGGTAATATTTAGGCAGCAAGCATGCATATTAAGCATAGGCTCAGAACTTCTTAGAGGACAATCAGTTCAAACAGATCATCAAAATGGTGTCATCATGGCACAAATTAAAAAAGGGGGTTGGGTATAAAGTTCTGAATGGTACCTCTGCTTGGTGGTCCCCGCATTCCACTTGGTGCTCCCCTGGACCCTCGTGGACCTCTAATAGGGCCACGACTCCGTGTTGGTGGTGGACCACGGCGTCCTGAAGACTCAAACTGAGGTTTTGTGGCCTGTTCCACTTTAATAGGCTTTCCATCAAGGGGCTTTAACACAAGTAACAGACTTTTAGGAAACTGCTCTTAAATTAGACAGACAAATAGATACAAGCACGTGTGCTACCATTATGTAAGCTCAGAACTTCTTAGAGGACAATTGTGGACTATCAGTTCAAACAGATCACTGCCACAAATCTTCATCACAGCTCACACATCTGAAGTTCACACCATTACTACACACCTTTCCATTCATTTCCCTCGCTGCATCTTTTGCGTCACCAGGATTTTCATAAGTTACAAATGCAAAGCCTCTAGATTTATTTGTTTCACGATCCTTCATCAACAGAACTACAAAAGACAAGTTGGAGGAAAACATACGATTACACCAAATGCTTCAATGACATTTTTAGCTCTCGTCTAAAACAAATTCCAATATTATATTTATTAATTTTGCACAACCGACAGACAGTTCTACAAGCAAGTAATTTAAATCATACAAAAACTACAAGTACCTTCTGATATTCGGCCAAATTTGCTGAAATACGCTTCAAGGACCTTCTCACTAGTTTCAGTGTTCAGGCCACCGATGAAGAGCTTCCCTGGTCGGTCTGCCTCAGCCATGCTTTCCACTATTGCCACTGCAGGGGAGAGACATTTATGCATGAGAATAGTCCAGTGTCTTTCGTCTTAGAAAAAATAAATTAACAGCTTAAAACCAACATAAGCTGGTCTCTCATCCGGAATAACTCAAAAGTGCCTAAAACCAGCAAACAGTCCAACCTAACCATGTTGGGAGACCAGAGCACTAAACAATTTTAACAACATTACATGCTAAGGAGCAACGCAAAATGCCAGTACATGTTGTTGCAAGGTTAATGAAGTTAGAAAAGCTATTCGGTAACAGAAACACGTTTAATTTAATCGTTCTTTGAAATAGATGGTTAACCCTGCAACCATGAGCTGTTAGGCCCTGCCTGGCTAGCTGCAGGTGTTGAACACGTGCAAAGACTAACTTACGAACTTCACAAATATAGTTACAGAAGACACTAAACGTTTCGGTTGACCAGTTTGCATGACATTTACATGAGCATTTTAAAGCATGGCTCACAAAATGGCGGACGCTTAAAATCATAAAGCTACTGGCAGATGCAGCAGCTTGAGCCCTCTTCAGGCCGTATGGCTAACTAACAACACATGTTTGATTAAGAACATCATAAAGGCATGATAAACACATTTGATTTAACTACACAGCAATACTTAGATTAAAGTACATAAGCGAATAACGCCACATGCAAATCCAAAATGGCGATTGAAATGTGCGTTTAGAAAAACATCTTGTCGTTTACCATCTAACGTTACACAAGGCCATTTTCAGTTACCATCACAGCTGCTAAATATACATGGCTACGGTATTGCCAGATGAAACGTCCACATACTAACCAAAACCCATGAGTACACTTAGACGAATCTGTTTAAATTAGCCATTTACTTACCTCAGGATCAACAGACACAAACAAAAGCGCCTGCTGGTTTATGTCTGTTTCGACCATAGACTGTATAAAAACAGGTTTCGGACCCGCCCAGCAGCACAGTCATTTACTCTATGGTCAGAGGGAGGAACTTAACGGTTTAAAAGTCTCTCACGCCCCCTACTGTCATGTTTGCAAACTGTACTCAAGTCCTGTATAGCGAAAACCGGCCACATCACAGCTGCACTCATGAATGAATAGTACACAAAATAAATTAATAGAGTTTTAAATATGTATTTAAACTGTGTACTGCATTAAGATTCCAGTCTTATCTGTAGCTAAATAAATGTTTGAGATCATATGACCAAACGAACAATATTACCCGCCTCAGAAAATGTCAAATGAATATTATATATATTTGGAACGTCCCTAATAATATAATAATTGTATTTTGTTTGCTATCCACTGGCCATTAAATATATGACAATTGACATATCATCATACTTTAAGTTAGAACTCTACAGAGTTGAGTGTTTCCATATCAAGTCAAGTCTGGCATTATTATTATTATTATTGTTATTAGTATTATTATTGTTATTGTTATTATTGAAAAAGAAAGTTTATTTTCACCTGTGGGACTGGTGGTAGGCTAGTACTGCCATTTCCTTCAGGAAAACATTGATGAGCGTTATGACAAACTTTACATATATGTAACAAAAAAGGGGGAAAATAAACAAAAGCAGAAAATAAAGTAGATACAGCCTAAATATAATTAATTATTTATAATTAAATAAAACAAATAAACATGATTTAATTAATTGAAATATATTGATGGTATAAATATATTAATTACAAAATTAAACGTTTTCTTTTTATTAAAAAACACATTCAGGAGAACATGAAATAGCATCAATAGAAAGTTTCACGTGTAGCAGTAATTTGGAAAATACATACATACACAAAAAAGATAAAGATAAAAAAAATGTATTTATAAAAATGTAATTGAAAATCCAGTTTTGTAGATGAATTGGAGGCGGGGCCACCGGTGGGCGGGGTTATGTGCACAGTGAGGAAGTGACTCTGATACAAATCTCTCTTGAGTCAGTAGCAGCTGCGAGCTCGTTGTCTTGGTGATCTTTTGTGTGGGCTGTCACCGGTTAGTTTTATGGTTTGCTCCAGCAGAGTAAACCGGAATTCTCGCAGGACGCTATCTTTGAAAAATGAAGCCTTTAAATCCGAGTTTTATATTTTTGCTGAGTTTAACAGTAGTCAGCTCGAGTTTAGGATTCTACCTTCCGGGTTTAGCACCAGTCAGTTTTTGCGAGCAAAACTCGAAAGGAGATGCGGAGGAATGCCAGGTGAGCTTTTGCTGTCCTGTAAAATACATGTTTAGGCATTGAGTTAATAAGCACATTCTGAATTCTCTGCATTGCAAATTCATGTTCAAAATAAAAAGTGTTGATCTCTGAGATATGACTAATAGTCAACTGTCCCCTTGACCCCACTCCCCTGCTGTCTATCCAACAGACTGAGATACAGCTGTTTGTGAATAGACTGGACTCAGTGGAATCAGTCCTGCCTTATGAATATGATGCGTAAGTGTTCTTGAGCTTTACAATATAAGCTTTATTATTATATCTGCATGCATTTCTATACAAGGACTGACCAGTGAGGGAATACTTTTTGCTTTAGGTTTGATTTTTGCAAAGATACGGATGAAAACAGGCCCTCAGAGAACCTTGGGCAGGTGTTATTTGGAGAAAGAATAGAGACGTCACCTTATAAAGTAAGAAATTGTTTTAGTTTTTTAATCATTGTAATTTAATATCATTGTGGCAGTGACATTTAGAAGATTACACACCTTGTTCATTGAGAGCTGGCATCTCGTTTGTCAAGTTTTTACTAGTTGTAGTTGCAACTGACAGACACTTCTTCCTTTTGTGTTTTGTTTTTTATAATGTCATATATAATCATATATTGCCTAGTTGTTACTATTCTGCATTAATGTGTTCAAATGAACTCTTCTCACATAATGGATAGATCCTTCATATACTGATTTTCGAAATTCTCCTTAGTTTTCATTTAAGGCTGACAAGGCTTGTGTGAAGGTCTGCACCAAATCGTATGATACAGGTTCAAGAGAAGACAAGTTAAAGTTGGACTTTCTAAAGAAAGGAATGGAGCTGAATTACCAGCACCACTGGTAAGTCTAGGTGTGATTCCTACGGTAGGTGTGGTTGTAGCAATAACAAAATAAAAGTTGTCATCGACACAAAAGACACAATATCAGTTTGTCAATGGAGGGTTGGGCATGTAATTCTTTACGCGATCTCTTATGGTTTGCCATAAAAGATAAGTGGGTTTGGTTTATCCTTAAACTTGTTTTGCAGGATTGTTGACAACATGCCAGTGACATGGTGTTACATTGTGGAGGACAATCAGAAAGTCTGCAACCCAGGATTTCCCATTGGATGTCTAGTGAACCAAGAAGGAAAGCCAAAGGATGCCTGTGTGATAAATGTGAGAGAGACAGCTTTTTATGCTACTTTAGTTGTGAGCTGGCAGTCTGTGATGGAATAAGTGTGATAGAATAAAAAGTTGGGGTAAATGCAATGAATTGAATATCAATTCTGTAAATTATGTTAAGATTATGACATTTTTTATTTAATTTTATTGTTGGAATAGGCTGTAATCCCTGTTTTAGGGATGGTGATACAAACATTTGATGTAGCATGGTTAAGTTTGTGTTAGACATTATGTCTTAAACATATAATACATACAGTATTTGTGGAATGGACTAAAAATTTACTAACTGTTTTGGTTATTGAATCCTATTGAATCCTACTGACTGGTGTTCAAATACAATGGACCCTTTTCATATTTCACAGAAGAGGAAGTCATAATAATGAGCAAAAGCTTTGCGCCTTTTTGCTCCACTAGCAAAAGAAAACATTCATGATTTTTATGAGTTAACCAAAGAGGAAAAACACAGAGAGTGATTGTTAGTTGGAAGAGAGAAAGATGTCAAATTTGCCATTAATCCATCAGCCGTTGTATTAGAATTGCTTTGCTAACAAACTTGGCTACGTTTGCAATGTTAATATCTGTGGAAACAAGTCATCTGTGGAAAGTGTCCATTAAATAAAACTTTATATGTTCATTCACATGTTCAAAAACATTATTAGTTTACATTTTTACAGCATAATATAATAATCTAAAATACATTATACATAAAAATACAAATAAAACTATATATGCTTATTCATTCATTCACATGTTTAAAACATTAAACTAACTGTTTTGGTTATTGAATCCTATTGAATCCTACTGACTGGTGTTCAGATACAATGGACCCTTTTCATATTTCACAGAAGAGGAAGTCATAATAATGAGCAAAAGCTTTGCGCCTTTTTGCTCCACTAGCAAAAGAAAACATTCATGATATAATTTTTATGAGTTAACCAAAGAGGAAAAACACAGAGAGTGATTGTTAGTTGGAAGAGAGAAAGATGTCAAATTTGCCATTAATCCATCAGCCGTTGTATTAGAATTGCTTTGCTAACAAACTTGGCTACGTTTGCAATGTTAATATCTGTGGAAACAAGTCATCTGTGGAAAGTGTCCATTAAATAAAACTTTATATGTTCATTCACATGTTCAAAAACATTATTAGTTTACATTTTTACAGCATAATATAATAATCTAAAATACATTATACATAAAAATACAAATAAAACTATATATGCTTATTCATTCATTCACATGTTTAAAACATTATTGGTTAAATCTTTACAGGATAATATAATATAAAATACATCACCAAGAACAGAACATTGACACAATGTGTTGCTGATTAATAACATTTCAGCTTTTTATTTTTTTTTCTTCAAAATAAAATAAGATCGAAATATGCCTTTTTGATTTTTGTTGATTCTGACTAGCTTCTGACATGATTTTATCCACTCTTTTAGGCTGATTTCAACAAGAAGAACACTTATTATGTTTTCAACCATGTGGACATCACCATACATTACCACAGTGGAGATGAAACGAATGGGATGCATGCTCGACTTGTGGCGGCAACACTGGAACCTCGGAGGTCTGATTTTGCAACTAACTGTCTGTTACTAACTTGACTTGAAATGGTGTATTTAAGACCTAATTTTAGCTCTTGCTCCACATTCTGTGGGCCTATATGATCAGTTTCAGATTTCATATTTAACTAGAATTGAAAGTTAGGCATAGTGACACCTGTTTGCAAGCACACTTTAATAAGAAAACAGAGTAAATATTTACTGTAATGCGCATAGAGTAGAACATTAAATCAACATTATCTTGTCTGTAGTATAGTTTGTTACATAAGAGTAATGCTTATGTGTTGAATGTTGGACAGCATAAAGCATAGTAATGACGAAAATCCAACATGTGAAGAAACTCCCATGGACATACCAGCAGATTTCAAGAGTAATCTCAAAGTCACCTACACTTATTCAGTTACATTTAAGGTACGTTTGTTTATAGAGTCAGTACAATGAGATGGTTGGAAAGAACTATGTGTAATAGAGTTTTTTTTTCCCTTTTCTAGCAAAATGATGATATTAGGTGGGCTTCTCGATGGGATTACATTTTGGTTTCCATGCCTCACACTAACATTCAGTGGTTCAGGTGAGCACAAGCTAGTTGTAAATATCATCATACCATATCTCCATACATATATTAATGGCCCATCTTCATTTTATTTTTTCAGCATCATGAACTCTTTAGTCATTGTGCTCTTCCTGTCTGGCATGGTGGCCATGATCATGCTTAGAACACTGCACAAGGATATTGCTCGGTACAACCAGATGGACCAGGTACCTTGAATTTACTTTGTTCTCATTCCAGTATTTACCTAGATAACAGAAGAAATGAATGAGTCTGTAATGTCACCAGAGTATCTTGCGTCAACAGAGCTGATGCTCCCAAATACGCACAAACTGTTAGAGCAAATTTCCAGTTATATATTATGTTTGTTTCTTGGGTTATGTAAATCCTAATGCTCAAGCACAGACAGACCGATAGCTTTTCTCTTAGTTTCAGTGTGATCTTATTTTTCTCATTTTAATAACTGTAAGAATACCTCCAGTCACTGAATCCTCTGTTGTGACATTCACAGGCAGACTGGGTTAAGATCCCTCCAGCTGCAAACGTTACCTATGTAAGCTTATTAGCTTATGTTGTCACTGGTGATTATGATATGAGGATTGTGTGGCTTCTGGAACTTGGTAAAACAAGTGTAAATATACAATACCATGCTCACCAATCAAGGTAAAAAAATGAAGGGAGCTATTTTGCAATGAATAGGTAATGTCACTGATAAAGCATGTGTGGCACATACCATCTGCTTTTCCTTCACAATTTCAATAATTGAGTTTGACGACTGTCCATAATGATTTACCGGATGTCGTTCATGTGAAGTCATATTGAGATTTACTGTTATATCTCCTGCAGGAGGAAGCCCAGGAGGAGTCTGGCTGGAAGCAGGTACACGGTGACGTGTTCAGGCCGCCCAGGATGGGCATGCTTCTGTCCATCTTCCTCGGACAGGGCACTCAGGTCTTCATCATGACCTTCATCACCCTTTGTAAGTGCATTGGAGCAGAAATAAAGTAAATGCACTGCAGATTTTGTATTGTACAAGTTAAACATAAAGGATTAATTCTCTAGTATTTTGAGAACACTTTAATATTTGAGTGCATTCCAGAAATGTGAACTTTTGTCCACTAATCCTTTATTTTTAATTCGTTTTTTTATGCGTAATATATGTTGTGATCAATTAAAAATGGTTGTACACAGTTTGGTAATTTGTTATTTCTTATTACTGTCATCCTAGCATGGTCACACTTTATTTTAAGGTCCAGTTCTCACCATTAACAAACCATTAACTTCGGCTTTTGCCTCAGTAAACTCCTAATTTGCTGTTTATTAATAGTTAGTTAGGAAGTTGTTAAGTTTAGGTTTTGGGTAGGATTAGGGAAGTAGAATATGGTCATGCAGAATAATGTGCTTTATAAGTACTAATAAACAGCCAATATGTTAATAATAAGCATGCTAATAAGCAACTAGTTAATCGTGAGAATTGGTCCCTATACTAAAGTGTTACCAATAGCATTAAATGAAAAAGTAACAATCCTGCTTTTCTCTTTAGTCTTGGCCTGCCTGGGCTTCCTGTCTCCAGCCAACAGAGGGGCTCTCATGACCTGTGCAGTGGTGTTGTGGGTTCTACTTGGCACATCTGCTGGATACGTGTCTGCCAGACTCTATAAGAGTAAGGAAATATTGCAATATGGAACACTTATTTTACCTTATTTTCTTCTGGAATCATTATGAAAGCATTGTAATTTTTCATTTGAAGAGCTATTAATTTTTTCCTCTGTTCATTTCCTGCATTTTAATGTAGTCCACCTTAAATATGTTAAAGATGAATCAGAATGAGCTTTATTGCCAAGGAAGCTTATACAAACAAGGAATATATCTTGCTGAAAGGACCCTCCAGTGCAGAAAAAGTACAGACATACTTGAGGATAAAGGCAATAAAATAGAATATAACACAATAATAAAAATGGGAAATAAAATGTAAAAATAATACAAATCAATACAGTGATTAAAAATATAGAAAATGCAAAATATATAGAATTGTGAATGTGCAGATGTTATTTACAGATGTACAGTTTTGAAAAACCCTGTTGGCAGTTTTAATATTGATTGCTTCCCTTAATTTCCCTTGGTTTCATCAGCTTTCGGTGGTGAAAACTGGAAAACCAATGTTCTTCTCACCGCCTTTTTGTGTCCTGGGTAAGTTGAATACTGTCTTTAATGCAAACAGTAATAGATTTGCTGACAACAGGAATAAAATGATGTATGCCAGTATGCAGTTTCAGTATGCTATATTTTTGCAGGATTGTGTTTGTGGATTTCTTCTTGATGAATCTGATCCTGTGGGTAGAGGGCTCCTCCGCTGCTGTTCCCTTTGGTACACTGGTGGCCATCCTGGCACTGTGGTTTGGCATCTCTGTTCCTCTCACTTTTGTGGGTGCATACTTCGGTTTCAAAAAACCAGTGAGTATGCCTTCTTTAACAGACCAACTTCTTAAGCACATTTTTAATTCCTGGCATTCTGACAGGTGCTCATTCCACACTTGAGAAATTACATTTAATAATTAGCTCCCAGATTTTGATACTCTTTCGCATTCCTATTTTTGTATTTCTGAGTATCTCTTTGAATCAGCTGTTATTGCGTTTCCCATCTGTTCCCAGCTTTTCTTCTGGCACGCTGTCATGCTATCATGAATGTGGGTGTGTTTTTGTTTTCCTGTTTTAACAGGGCATCGAGCCACCAGTGCAAACAAACCAGATCCCACGCCAAATTCCTCAGCAGTCCTTCTTCACCAAACCCGTGCCGGGCATCATCATGGGTGGCATCCTGCCCTTTGGCTGCATCTTCATCCAGCTCTTCTTCATCCTTAACAGTATTTGGTATGATTTGAAATCATATCATGCTGAAATGAGTTGATTTGAGGATTGATGTTTTGGTCCTAACGGTGCATGCAAATGTTTCTCTGCAGGTCTCATCAGATGTATTACATGTTTGGCTTCCTTTTCCTGGTCTTCATCATCTTGGTCATTACCTGCTCTGAGGCAACTGTTCTGCTCTGCTACTTCCATTTATGTGCAGAGGTGAGATCTAACATCTTTTAAACAAAACTAATTTCAGTGTACCATTTTACATTTGACATTTTTTGTGTTTGCTGGTTGTTCAAAAACAACTAATATGACAGTCAAGGACTTTATACTGACATCTAGTGGTCAGTATAAAGTCTTTTTTTCCTAGGCCACTGATTTGAATGAGTCTTTAGTTCATATGAGTCTACATCATTTTAAACATTTGTCAAAAGTGCTATTACTATTTATTTTAATAATTGCTGGTGTTTTTGACTTTTATTTAAAGCCTTCTTATTTGTGTTTGACAGGATTATCACTGGTGGTGGCGATCATTCCTGACCAGCGGTTTCACAGCAGTGTATCTGTTTGTCTACGCAGTGCATTACTTCTTCTCAAAACTACAAATTATAGGGGCTGCGAGCACCATCCTCTACTTTGGCTACACCTTGATCATGGTGCTCATTTTCTTCATTTTTACAGGTAGGTGGAAGATGGCATGATTTGCTTTAGCTTTAAAAATATTTTCATGCATATACACTTTGTGATTGGAGTAGGGATTCCCAAACGTTTTTGTCAACCAGATCCCTTTGATGAAAATATTTACTTGAATTACCCCCTGAAATGTAATATTAATATTTCAGTCATTTAACATTTGTTCTCTGAAGTTGGTTAATGGTCACATGACATGCAAGTAAATAAATAGAATATTTAATCTTTTTTAGTAGTATAATTACAATTATAATGTAATTTACAGTAGCATAATTATAATAGTATAATTTAGATATGGTTTTTATTTTATTTTACATATTATTATTATTATTGTTACTATTATTATTGTCTATAGTATAGACTATACTATTAGTATATATTGTATATGATATATATATATATACAATATATTTTTAGGATTTTATTTGCAGCCTCGTTTGTGAAACCCTAAATTAGAGAATAGATTTGTGTCATGACCTACTTGAGAAAACCAGGTTGAAGTTACAATTTATTCTTTTATCACAGATTAATAGAGCTATACAGTGCTTCCTGTGCTGTTTTTGAAAGACCGAGCGAATCTACAGCAAATGTCAAAATAAATAATACTTTTAGTTTTAGCTTGCAGTCTGAATTTGAATTCAGTCTTTCTTTTCAGTTGCAGTCTTTCTGTTGTGTTGTCTTCACTGGCTGTAATGAAAAACAAGCATACAACACATGTAGTCTGTTCCACATACTAATGAGGAACTTAATCAGTCTTATGAGTCCTGCACTGAATGACCTTTCACTGAATACTCCTCCTCAATCAAATGACCAGTTTAACCCTTAACCGGTAATAGTGACACTGCAGCACGAGAACAATGTTTAGGCTAATCGTTAAGATTGCAGAACTAAGTGTGTACCATTCATCATGTTTGATCTACGGGGTAGGGTTTGCATCAGCCGTTCGGAAGTTGTTACTTAAATTGGAACGTGAAATCCACACTAAAAGCTTAGTAACTGTTAACATAGTTAACTTACAAGTTAGTTCTTTATTTGATTGCACCATTTGTTCTTAAAGGGATAGTTCACCCAAAAATGAAAATTCTGTCATTAATTACGCACCCTCATGTCGTTCCAAACCTGTAAGACCTTCGTTCATCTTCGGAACACAAATTAAGATATTTTTGATGCATTCCGAGAGTGACAGCAAGGATCCTTACACGATCAAGGCTCAGAAACTTGGTAAAGAGATCGTTAAAATAATCCATGTAGCAAATAAGGTCTCTATAAAGTAATGTGGAGTGGCATAATATGACGTTAACCCTCAATGATCCAATTGCAGCCTTGAAATACGAGATTCTAAATTCTTCTAAATGTCTTTTGCCTCACAAAACTATGTTTCCTTTGAAATATGATACTACTTAATGGTCAGTAACTTAATAGGTATTCTTATGTAAATAACATTCAGAAACTGCATTTAAAATGAATAAGGATGAATAAATACTGATACAAAAAAAACATTAAAAATAACACACCACGGACAGATGCACAAATAATGTTTTCTCTTTCATAAAATGTAAATGAGTGTAAATGTCAGCATTATCATATATTCCTAAAGGATTGAAGTCTGACAGGTAAAATAAGATCTTATGAAATGCAATCTGCTATTTTTGTTGCTGTTACTCCTGGTCACAGGCTTCTGTAAATATTTAGTTTACGCATAGAATTACATTGCAACTAAGTTAAATATGCAAACATATTTAATAGTGGCTACGTTGTTATTACTGCAGCTGATGCAATTTGTATCCTGTTCCTGAAAGTCAATGCTTACTGTGGTTAGTGTAACATGCAAAATGTTTGCCTTATTTTACTTCGCCTACAATATAAAATGTTCAGATTTCCTCATGGATTTGGTGCTGCAGTGTCTCCCTTCTGGTCCTTTCGTTTGGCGGGTGACCAGTTCTGGTTGGTTTGTTCCTGCCCAATGGGTCATGCTGTGTTTAGGCTGAGGGTAATTGGGACACCTATAAATATTCCTCATCTTTTATTGTTGTTGTTGAAAGACAGCGGCGCTCCCTCCGGCCTTAATCAAATCTCTGTCACTTTCCCTCATTGATATGCTGAGGCGGAGGTGGCGAGAGATGGCCAGCTGTCTGCCAGCCGTAAACAGCTGTTGGTTGATAACATCTACACATGCTTACCTGTTTCTCTACAAATGGCATGTAAATGTCTTTTTTAGCTTTGCAGCAAGTGTTTTCCTCACCCAGCATGAAGTAAAGCGATTCTACAGCTGTACAACTGCGACTGATCGACTCAGTAAAATAGCCCAAGCTCCTCAGCGGCATTTCATGTTGAACCTTTACAAAAACCCTCCAGATTACCAGTGTAATTGCTGCAGTTCTTACGGCTTTGCTTTGAATGATGGGAAACCACCGTCATCGATTTTCTGAGTAGATATTAGCCACAATCTATTTGTTGCCATGGATTCTACTAGATGCTTTAGCATCCCTGGCTACGGCTGTTATGGCAACTTCCATGCACACTTGAGGGGTGAAAATGTAAGGCACGATTGAAACGAGGCTTACTGGATCTCCATTACCCTCTCAGTCCCACACCTTAAAGCAACGGTTCCCAGAAATGGCTTGTTTTTGTCCAAACTAGCATGACTTTTTAGATCCTGAGAGCCAAGTGAAGATACAGCGAGAGCGTGTGTGGAAGGTGAGGGGGAGGACTGAGAATCGTGTGTATATAAACGCATCTGAAAATAGATTCCGAGCTAAAGATTTCAATCAGACCTATTGTTGGTTGGCTGTCACTGCCGCCCCAGCGATGATTAGATTGAATCCTGTGCTTCATTACACTCAGCTCAGTTTGGCTCTGTCAGATAATTTGCTGCACTATTAATAGATGGTTATCTTATAAAATGCCACCCAAATGACTCTAAATGTGGTTTTAATAGAAGCACTGTTTCATAATGTGCACACTATTAGTTAGTCTGGCACATTTTGTGACATCTTTTATGTTGGCCGGTGCTCTTCATTTTATTTCTCACATTAATTCTCAAACATGTCTCCTTCTGTGCAGGTACTATGGGCTTCTTCTCCTGCTTCTGGTTTGTAAATAAAATCTACAGCGTGCTGAAGGTGGACTAAGGGAGGGACATTTGGAGAACACAACATCATCTTTTTACAGATCAGCTTTCATGTGAAAGTTTAATGAAGGTTAAAAGAACGGATGGTGTGTTTGGCTCAACTGTAATTCACTGACCTGCAGTAGGTGTGTGTGAACTCCAAAGACCCTTTTTTTAGTGCTTTACTTGTCTCGCGTTGCCTATGACTTCATTCCAGCTAAACCTACCGCGCTGAGAGCAGAAGTCCATATCTTATGTATTTTGTGTCTTATTATGCTTTTATACTGATCCAAATATATGTTTTACATTGTGTTTTATTTAATCATCTGTAAAGACACAATTTGTGTATTTAATACAGTTATTTCTGTCCATGTTTTAGCCTTTGTACATTTTTGAAAGATCAGATGGGACACAGTTTCGGGTGCAGTCATATTTACCTTTACAGTGAAATTCCGTGGGCTAAATGCAGTCATCGCAGACTGTGTGACACGTGAAAACATTCCACATGCAGATTTCTCATAGGATTGAAGTTTGAGCGCACAGATTTGTCACACTGATCAATATAAAGCTGCTTAGTTTGGAAGTGACCTCTGAGTAAGTGGTGTAGCATCACTACATTATAAGTTTCACTAATGTAACACACCATTATTTGGTGGAATTTCACAAGGAAATACAGTCATTTTTGATTGGAATCCACATGTTTGGGAGTTTCGCTTGAGGGCTAAAAGGGGGCTAAAACGTTTTCCCCCACACAGATTTTGTCGTGTCAAGTTGGTCACGTGAAGATGACATGTTGAGAATAGAAAATTGGTTTGGAAGTTACTTTGTTGTAACTGGGGTTTTTTTTTTTGCCCGTGAAATTTAGCCTAGTTGATTTTGCACCTGTAAGGAATTTTTCGCAGTCGTTTAGATGGGAATTAACGCGATCAGGAATTTCACGTGAGGGTGAAAGATTTTGCTACGGGTTCAAGACAAGCTGCTTTGTTTTAAAGTGACTCCTGTGTGAGCTCTGCTTTATGCATCACGTTATTGACAATATACGAAGGAACTTTTTTGCCCATTAAATTTCACCTAAATTTCGCTAATGTGACTGCACCTTAAAACATGTAAAACCACACCACAGTAACCTCTATAATATCACCTATTGGTGAATATCAGTAATATTTTTTACTTTGTTGCTAGTATCATAAAACTACTTTTGTTTTGTTATGTTTTTATAGTTTTGTCTTGGTGATAAACAGTTTTTATTGAGTGCAGGAAATTGAATGTTTAAGAAGCACATTGTTTTTGCTACAGGGCTCTTTTATACAAGTAATAATGTCGAAATAATGGGAGATATTTAGTGATTTTTATACTTTGTAAATTATTTAAATATAATTACGTTAAGAAAACTACATGCTTGCACATCTTTTTCCAATCATTTTAATTTAAAACCCACAGAATGTACTGAGCTTCAGGTCTTATGATGAGGTATACAGAAACATTCTTCACAATGTTATAATGAAAAAAAATAAATCACAAAGTACATCATTACAAAAAATGTCTAATTCTAAGCTTTATATATATATATATATATATATATATATATATATATAACAGTCGCGTGAAGCCTAGAAATAGCTTATATTGCTAGTTTTTCTTAGTTCTATTGCTGCTCCTTGCGTATCGTTCATGCATTAAATTTTCTCGGGTTGCTTTTGAAGAAAGAAATTGGCTCCCAAATGCCTGGTGAATCGATGGAGTCAATGCCGTTTCAAACCAGACGCACACCTTGTTCCTTTCATAAACGGATTTTGACTGCATAATGACTCACACGACTAAAGATCTCCTGAACTTTGCAGCAGCAGCTGAGCGGGCGATACCGCAGCTGCAGCCTTGAGAATAATTTATGTTTAATGCAACGTCAGGTAGCTGGTGTGTTTTTAAATAAGTGAGGAGGAGTATCACCTAAGCCAGTGTGTGCAGGAACATAAAAATCTTATCCTCACTCCATGTTCAGCCGCATTAAACTACAACATAGCCCTAGCTGTGCAACTATTTACATCTTGACGGCAGTGATGGAGTGATTATTTTAACCTGCTGTGGATCTGCAGGAACATACTGCAAAAAAAAAAAAAAAAAACCTTTATTTTTTCTGCAAATCAAATTTTTTAAAGGTATACAGAAACATTCTTCACAATGTTATAATGAAAAAAAATAAATCACAAAGTACATCATTACAAAAAATGTCTAATTCTAAGCTTTATATATATATATATATATATATATATATATATATATAACAGTCGGTTGTTACAGTTGAAGTAAACATGATGACATGTTTCAGCTGACTCTGCTGTTTTGTTTTTTGAAAGTGACTGTCTACAGTTTACAAGTGCTGCAGACATTGCTGGAAACTGGTATACAGTTGATAATATCTGTGATATGTATTGCTGCACTCACTTGTTTCAATATAACACTTGCTGTAGCAGAGGAAATTGCGGGTTTGACTCATGATTGATTCAGCTGACTTCTAAACGCCCCAGCCAGAAATTAATATTGAAGCACTAGCAGTCCTATTTTGTACAGGGTCAAGCCAAGTGCTCAAGATCGGTTAACATTCCTGCCTTAATGCAGTGGTTGAACTCCATAACATAAAGTGCTTCAGCAGTGTCGAAGCCTGCTTGTTTAATCATGTCAGTTTGGCAGTGTGAGGGGATTGAACATCTCGTATGACACAGAGATGATGTACAATTTATCTAGGGAGGCACTCATAAAGAGAGCGGACTCTTCACACCGGTCAAGAGGTACATCATAAATACCCTGAGATCCTGAGCTCATTAGCTGCTCTTGGGTGAATCTCACGAAAGCATGTCCAGGTCACATTTCTCACATGCACAAAAATTCAAAAATAAACCCAGCAATAAATAAATCTATAAATAAAATGGCAGTTCAACAAATACTAGCATGAAATAGAAATACTTAAAATTGAATTAATATTTCCTTTTTTTTACATTAAGGTAATAAGAAATGGTTGGATGGGTGGGATGCAAAAAAATTATGGTCTGGAAAGAAGGCTTAATTTTTTTCTCTCTCTCATTTTGGGGTGAAATGTGACTCACCCTCTTCAAAACACTGAAACCCCTCCAAATTACACATCTTTTAAACACAAACATAAATACAGTGACCCATACCCTAATGCTGTGATTCATCGCTTAAGTATTATTGGTGCATGAACAATAAATAAATAAAATGTTACCCCCCCCAATTTAGGTTCCTTTTGCTTGAAATTACTCTTACATTTACATTGTTTCTGTAAGAGAACTACGATTCCAGTGACAATGATTCAGTTGTATAACAAAGTTGATATGTATGCTTAGAAAAATAGACCAAAATCTTTCCACATGTAAATTCATTTTAAAACGACATAAGGAATGCTTTGTCTTTAAATTGTAAAGTAGCAATACATTTGACATGGATGTATACAAAGAACATTCATTTTGTTAGACATATTATACACTACTATGTGCTGTCTCAAAAAATATTTTTCCAACAATTTACTCCCAAGTATTGTAAGTATGATATTAAAACACTAAAAGAAAATCAATATTCTGTATTTGATGGAGCACTTTATACTATGTCTCCAATATTTTATATTTTAAACAACACATAAAAAGATATTAGATGTCAAGCCTTGTGTATTAAATGATTATTCAGACCTTATTTCTAGTCTGTTTAAATAACCATGACAAATACTGCAACTGATGGTTGAAATTCAGCTTTGCCATCACAGAATAAATATCATTTTAAAATAATATTATTAATGATATTTATTCTGTGATGGCAAAGCTGAATTTCAAGCAGCCATTACTCCAGTCTGCAGTGTCACATGATCCTTCAGAAATTATTCATATGCTGATTTGATGCTCAAGAAAAACATCTTAATATCAATATTGAAAGCAATTACGCTGCTTAATATTTTTTGTGAACATCATGATTTCAATGCATTTTAATGCAATTGAATGCATCCTTGCTGAATACAAGTATTAATTTCTGGAAAAAATATACTGAATATAAAATTAAAATAAATAAATCTAACTCTTGACTAAAAGATCATTTAAACAGTCTATTATCCAGCCAAGAAAATATGTTTGCTAGGCTTTTATGTTGTTGTTGTCAATGTTATTTTTGTAAATACTAACCATATAGGTCCATAGCATAGCTAGGAACACATATGGTTACATATAGCAGAACAAATATGCATTCTCAGATAAAAAGGTACAGAAGCTGCCACTGGGGCGGTACCTTTTAAGAAGGGACATTTTGGACAATTTTTTCCCCTAAAGGGTACATATTAGTATCTTAAAGATACATATTACCACCTAAAGTGTACATATTAATAAATAAATGGCACATATTAGTACCTTTTAAAAGGATACTGCCCCAGTGACAGTTTTTGTACCTTTTTGTCTCAGAGTGTGGTTACAGTGTATTCAGTGAGTTTGTGTTTAAAGGCACAGTATTTGATTCAAAAGTACCAAATTGTGCTCTAAATGGAAACCAAAAGAGATGTATGTACCCCAGATATGTTCAGAATTTGCCTGTAGGTGTTTCCTCAGGTTGTTTGTTGGTATTGCTGTGTACAGTGAGCTCCTTCTCTGAGCTCAGACTGATGGAGGTGGTTTCCTTACGGCTGTCTTTGGACCTCCTCTCTGTAGGGGAAGAAGACGTGGTGCCTTCCTCCCAGGTTCGGAGAGGACACACTCGGGCAGCCTGGCTTGAGAGATGGGTGTGTGCCATGCGTCCATCCGTCACCGTGAAGCAACTGTCCACGGCGGAGCCCTGACTGATCCGGCCCTGCCCACACAGCGGCCCGCAGAGTAGCGCCAGGAACTCCTTGCGTACGCTGCGGTGCATGTAGCCATAGATGTAGGGGTGTAAGCAGCACTGCAGGAAGAAGAGAATGAGCGCCATCGAGGCCAACCAGGGCGGCACCGCTGCACTAGAGTAAATAGATATCGTGCTTAGTATGCTGTACGGGCCCATGCTGAACACGTAGGATGCCATGATGACGAACACCACCCGCGCCGCCTTACAGTGGTAATGGAAGCGTCTATGGCGGGTTCTGATGGGATAAGAGGCTGAAAAGGGGCCTTTCGGTTGGGGATGCCTTTGGGGGCTGGAACAGGATGCTTGGGAACATGGAGGGGGGTTGGATTGGATGGGGTGAACGAGGGCGTTCTGCCGCCTTGCCGCCCTGAATACCATCCAATAACAGCAAAGCATGATCACCACAGGCAGCCAGAACGAAAGTGCAGACACCAGGGCTGAATACGAGTAGCTTGAGGACCACACAACAGTGCAGGCTTTGTGGCGCCGGTCAAATTCGATGGTTCCCCATCCATAAAGCGGCGGAGTGCTCTGAAGTACACTAAGAAGCCATGTGAGAGCGATCAGGTTGGTACCCAGGTGAGGTGTCATTCGTGTGGGGTAGGACAGCGGGTGGATGATGGCCAAATAGCGATCTACGGATACCACAATGATGGTGTTGACGCCAGCGAATGCAAACAGGTGCATGAGCACCACAAGGGCTTGGCAGAGTCGGGCGTCCAGCGGCCAGACCTCAGGCACGGTGGCGGCGATGGCGAAGGGCATGACCAGCACCGTCTGCAGTAGGTCGGCCAGGAGCAGGTTAAGCACGAAACGGTTGGCAACGTGGAGAAGTTGTGGTTTGCGCTGGAATACCAGCAGCACCACGACGTTTCCAAAAAGCGACGTGCACACGATCACCGATATGAGCACCATCTTCACTATGCTGTTCACCAGAGAAGGTGCACCGGGGTCCCAGGGCACTGTGCTGGAGTTACTGCCCAGAGGTGGAAAGGTGGGCATGGTGACAGAGACAAGGTGGGAGATAACGCATTAGGAGCCTTTCGGATATCACCAACACCAGCCTGAAGGTCTGACAACTGTATTGTCACTCTTCACACCTTGAAAGAGGATGTAAAACAAGAAGAAATGTTCAGCACATCCTGCTCCCTCTTAGATGAATGAACGTAATGATATTTGAGTCACAGTGAAACAGACATCTGAAAGAACTATTGTGTACCTACACATACATTTTACATATTTATTTTTAGTCATTAGCAAACGTTTCCAAAAAGCGACGTGCACACGATCACCGATATGAGCACCATCTTCACTATGCTGTTCACCAGAGAAGGTGCGCCGGGGTCCCAGGGCACTGTGCTGGAGTTACTGCCCAGAGGTGGAAAGGTGGGCATGGTGACAGAGACAAGGTGGGAGATAACGCATTAGGAGCCTTTCGGATATCACCAACACCAGCCTGAAGGTCTGACAACTGTATTGTCACTCTTCACACCTTGAAAGAGGATGTAAAACAAGAAGAAATGTTCA